CAGTCAGACATCACCACTATGGGGTATTTGATCTGCGGCTGTTTTATGTCCATCTCCTTTGAGCATTTTGTACTATCACATCTTTTTTTCCTAATTCTTCATCTCCATTATCTTCATATGATCTATGTTTCCACTGCAGGGAACTTATAAAGCCAAGACATTTCATGAATCTATTAATAAGACTGTTGCTTACATGAATCCATGAGAAGCTCCTCTCTTTGCCCACTTTGCCATATAGTTCTTCTTTCTGCATAATCTTTTTCTTTGTAAAGTTAATTATCTATCTTAGAATTCTTTCACTTCTTCTCCATCTCATCATTTCTCATGTGATATTGAAACAAGTGCTTCTACATGGCCTAGGTTTATTTAAGCAAGAATTTGATCAATTTGCTCTGGGTGTTGGTTACCTTCTATAAAAACCAGTGAATGCCCACTAAGTCCCTCGGTATTTTTGTTTGCTTTTAATTTTGGTTGTTTTCAACATAGATCTTGAGTTGTATGTATAGGAAAGTTAATTTTTACGCACTGTTAATGTGAATTTGTTTTCTAACTAGACATGCAAGACACAAGGAATCACAAAATAACTTATTTGTAAAACTTCTTTTAAATACAAAAAGAAATAAATATATATATGAGTATGAAAGGGAAAAATCTGGAGAAAAAAAAGAGTTATGATGTAAAAACAAGCAGAGCACAGGGAAGGAATGTGTCAACCTAAATTGCCAGGCATTTGTTTGTTTGCTCATTTATCAAGGTTTAGAGAGGGGGAGGAAAAAAAAGAAACCCTTGTGTGTTGCAAGAGAGTTAGGGGAAGTGACTGCTGAAATCAAAGTATAAATGTTTTGCAAGGTCAGTCCCTGGCGCAGTTAGTGAGTAACACAGGAGTGGAAATAACACAAAGAAATCACAGAAAGTAGGCTACAATACCAAATGTGTTTGCTGAGTATCTGAATCTCTAGAATGTTGTTCCTGGGCTATGCAACTCTGCTCTTATGTTGGATGTATTGTTCTGCAGAAAGAGGTAAGATTTAATGTGAAAAAAAATAAACCCAAACCTGTTTCTTAAACTGTATGTGAAGATGGTAATCAAACCAATATGTAAAGTCATTCTAGCCTTTTTTAATGAACTTCTAACAACAATGATTGAAATTTCTTTGGCAGTATTCAGCACCTTTAGTGTTTAGTACCCTGTCATAGGTATTATTCCACCTATTTATTTGGATAATTACTGCTGTTATTAATCTGTTGCCCAAAGTTTTTAATGGTTACTGTCACTATAAACCAGAATCAGACAGCAAATTTTTTATTAGTTATGTTTATTAATTATTCTAACATCTGAAACCAATAATCAACTGGTATATTAAAAGAGAAAATATTCCATACATGTGAATTTCTCTCTGTCTGGAATAATCTGTGAGATGATCTGAGAAAGACAAATGATTACTAGATTGACTGAAAAGTTTATAAAATATCTGTTGACTGGCAGGCTGATTTTAGTCTATGCACTGAGATAAATGCCTACAGGTGTGCTTTAGTACTTGTTTAAAGAGGCAGCTAAGTATTCTGCATATCTTTTCAGAAGCCTCTGATATTTTCTGTTTCTCTGTTCAATTTATTTTTCTTGATTTGTGTTTATATTGCTTAATGTACGCTTAGTAATTTTTTTGCTTTCTGCCTGAGTTTGTTTACAGAAACCATTGAGAAAAGGGTACTGTGTGGTTTTGAGCTAGTGTGTCTTTGCTTGGTTCAGGTAGTTTTCAATTTTAGGTGAAGACCTTATTAATCGAAAGAGTCTGATGAATTTTACTTTGAAAAATTGAAAAATAAGAAAATTGCAGAAATCAATTTTATTATATTTAATGATCTAAATTAAATATACTTATAATAAATAGTTTTCCAAAGCAACTAATCAAGTCTAATTTGTTTGCAAAGAAATTCAGATATGTCCTGGAACTTGAAAAGTAAGTTTGCCTGAATTTGTACTTTGTATTCACAATGCTTTCTTTTGGTCAGGGAGATTGCAAAGGAATGTAAATGTAGCAAGATTGGACTTATCCAGGACAACTTTTACCATGGGTCATGCAGGATTCTTAGTTCAAGCTGCATGTGGAAAGTCTGCGTGGGTTGTTCCAAGAGCTGGGCTTTCGCACAAGGGCTAAAAATGTAGTTCTGCTTGGATTTGTAGTTTGTGTTTGACTTTATGGAAGTTGCTACCAGTATAATGGCAAAAAGAAAGCTGCTTGAGCTATTTCTAACTGAGGCCAATTCACATGTAAATACTGAGTGATTAATTCCACCTCTCCTGGTCTCTCACTAGAGGATTTGAAGGTATGCATGTAGTGCATGATTCCTAGTATAGAAATAAACCCCTCACAGTGCTGGTGAGTATATATATATATGGTTAGTGTATGATGCAATTAATACAGTCTTGAAGTGCATCCTGGGTTAGTGTATGATGTAATTAATACAGTCTTGAAGTGCATCCTGTCAGCAGATTTCTTCACCTCAAGCTACTAATAAACTACATTTTAAAAACCCCCAGTAATTAACTGTAGTCAGAAACATATATACTTACATACTGTGACACTTGATGGTAACACATAGTCTGACATCAGGGCTGGAGTGGGAAAGAACAGTCAGATTGGAGATAAAATTCAGAAAGAAACATGTCTTAGTAATGATAGAGACTGAGGAGATTATCTTTCATGCCTTTTTTTTGTTTTAAATGTCACCAAGGAGTAGGTAAGAGGCCCCATTCTGCACAACACTGAAAATAGAATGCAACTCAGAAGGAGGAATAGAGCAGAGAAGCATCTCCCTCTATTCAATTGTCTATTTTTTAAATCACAGAATTCAGTGTGCTCTCTCAGCTTGACAACTGAAAGTCCTAATTCCAAAGGGGTCTAATAAAAATACGTGGAATTAGAAAAAAAAATCCTTTGCACACCAGTACAAAGAACATTTTTGGGTTAACTAACCATTTTTAGCACATTTGAATGAAAGAACTAGCTAGAGGGTTCCTGCTCTTTTCGCTTATTCCTGCATCTTGCAAAACTGCTGTTAGAAAGTGAATGTGTTTTAATCTTGCTAAGAAAAGTATAAGCCCCTATTACATTATGATAGCAGGGTAGTACCCTCTAGTGCACAGGAGAAATGGTTGTCATTCAGATGTAATTATTTGTAGGAAGGAGCATACTTATTAAAGTAGTTGCAAAAAATGTGAACATGTAGGCATACACTTCCTTTAGCACCAAAGCTTGACTCATTCTTCTGGCTACTCAAAACAGCCAAAGTAAAGTTGTTAGATCTCAAATTTAACATCATTTTCTTTATATTTTCAAAATGCCATACAGAACACTTAAAATTATACAGTGGAGGTTTTTTCTTGTAACAAATATTTTTTCCTGATATTTAAACAATTTTATAAAATTATGCCCCTAATTTGGTATGATCTCCCCTGAATGAAATAGAGAGTCAGTGCTCGAGGGCATGTCTTTGTACAAATCAAGTAAAATTCACTTTCTGCACTGTGATGTGGAAAAATGAGCATTTAGTCTGCTCACTTTGTGTCAGAATTCCCAGCTACTTAATCTGCAGTTGTGGTTTCTGCAGTGTAGTTCAGTAAGCTATAATGCCACATCCCTCCCATGAGGAAAGATCCTCAATATTTTTCTTGTCCTATGTTTGGTCAGCACCCTGAAACCCATGAGAAAGCTTCAGTGAGGGTATTACTGCTTTCTCAAACGTGTGGCCCTACAGCTAACTGGTGAGAGGAATTCTCTGCCAGGTCTCTGCTGAGTAATGAATCTACTCACTAAGGAATTTCCTTCCCTGGTGGACATTTCTTTTCCCATTTATTTTCTATATAGAGATGTCATTTCTTTTCCAAGGCTTCATTTCTCAGGGGGTGTTTCATTTGTTCTTGATTAATTCTCACCTTTTACGTCCAGATGTAAAACAGATCTTCATGTAATTAGCTACACTGTTCAGGTTCTGCTACTCTGGATAAAGCCTCAAATAAGTATATTTCAGTCACCCAAGTATGGAAAATGTCATCACTGAAATCAGGTCAATTATTATAAACAACAACAAAATTATTTCTTAAAATCATTTAGTCTTTCATTAACAGCTTCCCAACATTTGTTTCTTTCCCCTTTAGTCTGACTTTTCTCATTCTCAAGCTGTTGAGGAACTTCTTAATAAAATTAATTCAGGCTCATTTGATGTAACTCATATGGGCTTGGCTGTACATTTTGTGTGCACTGAAGAAGGCCCAGGAAGGAGCTTTTGGGGAAGGACTGTAACATATTGAGTTAATAAGAAATATCAGACAACACCATCCACTCCCCAAACTGAGTTAAAATGCTTTGAAGCTAAAAAGCGTCAAAGTGAATATACTGAATTAATTATATAATGTAATAAGTAACTTACAAGTAATCTCATGGACAAGAGGAAATAAGTTTAGGAGTATTAGGTGATCTGAGCCTGGAGAAAAAGTTTAGACAAAGTCAAGGTGAGAGGAGATTTGACAGAACTTACATGAAATTAAGGTCAGTAAAGGTGGTAGTGGCTGGAGAAGATTGAAAGGAAATTCTACAGAATGCACAGTGCTGTTCTCTGTGATAATGGAAGGACAGGCATGGAGCAGCTCCTGCAGATGGAAAGGTAGGAGGTGTCTGTGGTTAGAACCAGGGCACCAATCTCATCTCAGTCTTGTAACTGTTTCATGACTCATCACTGTCCTGTGTGGTTTCTTGGCACTTGCTTGGCTATTCTCATGTCCTTCTAAATGTCTATTCATATTCCTACAAAATTCTTGGCATTTTCCTATTCCTATTGGATTCTTGGCAGTTTCCTATTTTGTGCTGATTAAGTAGAAAACATATGCTGGTTTGATCACAAATGTCCCCAGGATTTCTTGCTACAGTTTCTATTGTAAAATTACTTTAGTGTTTGTAGCATGTGCTTCAGTCATGAATATTTTTATTTAAATTTTTTAGCTTGTGAAGAACCTCCTCCTAGGAGGGTTAAAGAAGTGCCTACTAAAAGATGGGACAAACCTCCCTATCCACATGGTACTGAAGTAACATACACTTGTCGGCCTGGATATATGAAACTAGGACGAATCACATTTCAGTGTGTTAATGGAGCATGGGTACAACAGAGACCACTAACAGAATGCAAAAGTAAGTATCTATGCAAAATATGTGCAGACATTTAACCTGGCAGATCACATTTCTTGTCAATGATGTCAATGTGAAATTGCCATTTTGTATCTTTACCTGTCACTTACTTCTTTTAGTATTCTTGAAAATGTCATCCTAAAAAGTACATATCCTCAGAGAAATATTTGTTTCCTGTTCCTTTTCTCCAGATCAAAGGATTTATTTATTTTTCTTTACAGATCTTACTCTAGGCCAAACTTGTTAATACAACTTATGTTAAGACTGGTTCTTAGAAGCTTCCTTCCAAAATTTTATTAAATGTCTAATGCAGCTGAAATTTAAACTCTCAGCAGAGTAAAGCACTAACCTAGCTTCGGAATGCAAATCAAGGGGCAACTTATGTCTATGACAATTTCGTTCTAGGAAAGACATAATTTCTTGGAAGTGAGAAATTATTTTCCCTTGCCTGTTCTTTTAAACTGCAATTCAAAATTAGGATGAGAACTGCTATTTATTATCTCTAGTATACAGTGTTAAGAGTTTAGAAGTACCTCACATGCTTATGCAGAATTCATTAGTGCAGAAACTAAAGTTTATTGTTGCTAGTCAGCACATACTTCTTTTCTGTAATAAATGAGTTTTCAACGCAAAGGAATTTCAGAAACATGAGGGTTTTTTCTTGCATATCTTAAACAAAGCTTTTTGCTAGTAGAATGTAAATGCTTGGTTTGATAATATAAAATTGCATCCCAGGTGTCATTCGAACAGGGATGAATAGAAATCATGAATAAGAATTAATGATAAAGTTGCTACTAGTTCATTTTACATTTTTTATTTAGTTACCACCTCGGGGTTTAGGTGTATTTGTGTAACTACTCAGTGAACACGGATGTTTCAAATTATACAAAATTTGGTGCTGTTTTCAGCACCATGTTTTAGCAAATACTGCCACCCAGTGAGCAGCTGCTGCCACCGGCAAGGAGCGGGCAGAAGAGGAGAAGGGATGCTCTGCCACAGGCTAGGGGAACATATTCCCTTTGCAGGATAGGCCACACCAGACAGCAAAGGATCACGAGTTGTCGGTTTTCTCTGAACCCCACTGGAGCGGGTTTAGGGCTGTAGTGGGTTGACCCTGGCTGGATGTCACACAGCCACCAAAGCTGTGTTCTCAGTCCCCTCTGCAAACAAACAGTGGAGAGAAAATATAATGGAAAGTTCATGGGTTGAGAAAAGGACCAGGAGAGATCATTCATTGAATACCATCACAGGCAAAACAGACTCAGTCTGGGGAGATCAAGTGATTTTATTACTAACAAGATCAAAGTAGGATAATGAGAAAATAATACAGACCTTAAAACACCACATTCCCCCACCCCTCCCTCCTTCCCAACTCTACCTCCTCCCCCAAAGTGGCACAGGGAGACAGGGAGTGGGGCCTATGATCAGTTCATCACACGTGTTTTCTGCCACTGTTCTCAGGGAGAGGACTCCTTGCCCTGCTCCAGCATGGGGTCCCTCCCACAGGGAACAGCTCTCCTTGAACTTCTCCAATGCGAGTCCTTCCCGTGGGCTGCAGTTCTCCACAAACTGCTGCAGTGTGGGTCACTCTCCACAGGGTGCAGTCCAGTCCCTCAGGCACAGCTCAAACACAGGTCCCCCACAGGATCACAAGTCCTAACAGGAAACCTGCTTCAGTGTGGGTCTTCTATCTCCATGGGTTTGCAGGTCCCTGCCATGAACTTGCTCTAGCAAGGGCTCCCGATGAGTTCACAGCTTTCTTCAGGAGTCCACCTGCTCTGGTGTGGGTCTCCTGCATGGGCTGCAGGTGGATCTCTGTACCCTGTTAACCTCCATGGGCTGCAGGGGCACAGCTGCTTCAGCATGGTCTTCACCACAGGCCACAGGGGATCCTCAGCTCCAGTGCCTGGAGTGCCTCCTCACCCTTCTTCTCCGCTGCCCTTGGTGTCTGCAGAGTTGTTCCTCTCACATATTCTCACTTCTCTCTGGCCGCTATTACTTCTGCGCAACAACTTTCTTTCCTTCTTGATTATGTTATCACAGAGGCATTACTACCACCACTGACTAGCTCAGCCTTGTCACAGTGGTCCATCCTGCAGCCACTGGTATTGGCTCTGCTGGACAACAGCTCTTCGTTGGCAAAAAACAAAGATGTTGATATGCCCCAAGAAATTAATTGCCTTGGTCAGCAAGGACCAGGAAAGATTTCTTCTAAGAAGGGTTAACAGGTTTTAGCTACGCAGTTTGTTTTGCAGTCTGTATTATAGCATCAAAAGGGAGTGTGAAGTAGAGGGGTGGTATGTTCATCTTTGCCATTCTCTTGATAACACGGAGCAAATAGTTAGGGTCAGATCATAATGAAAATCCTTTGAGCCAATGCACTCAGGACCAAAAGACTTCTGTGGCCTCAGGTCATCCCTCTTTACTCAGCACAATCCCTGTCAGACAGAAAATTTCGTTTCCATCATGAATGGATTCTGTAGTGGGGGCTTTGGACCAATTTATGTCATAGGTGTCTGAAAAGCTGCAATCAATTTATCATAAAACTTAAGATGTTTTCACTCTTTTTAAAGGAATGAAGCCTGCTAATTTCTTTGGAGGTTTCTTGGGGTTTTTGAATTAGCAGATCCATACTGCAGTATATTCTCAATTACAATAGTGATAAAAGAAGGGGAGGCTAATCAAACTAGTGCTGAGCATTTTTTACTTGCAGCCCTTTATCGCTACTAAATACTGGAAAAGTGTTATCTTTCACATTCCTATGTATGGTGTAAGTAAGTTTTTTTTTCTTTGTCTTTTTTTTTCTTTAACCAGACAAGCCCTGTGGACATCCTGGAGATACTGAGTTTGGTTTCTTTGAACTTACCAGTGGAAAAGAATTTGTATTTGGTGCCAGAGTTGAGTACAGATGTAATGATGGGTAATACTTGTTTAATTCAGTGTATGGGAATTAACATAAAGTGTTAATTATAGTGTCAGTTATAGATTTTTTTCTCTGTAATGCAGCTGCATCTTGCTAATATTTAATGCTTACTTATTAATTTGAATTTCTGCAATTACAGTAATACTAAAAATAACCTTCTTCTGTCTGGTGCTATTGGAGTGACTGAATTCATGCAGTTGAAGCTGTCATCCAAATTGTCTAAGATGCTTAGGGCTGTAGCTAACTTGAAATCATGTCTGTCTGAGTAGAAAACAAAAATAGTGGCCTGTCTGTAAAGCTGCATCATGGCTGCACCAGCTAGCCAGTTCAGATGGAAGTGCAGCTCTGTATAATGGAATACATGCTCTCAGTAGACAACCAGGATACTGTCGTATTAGAGAAGTCCTTAGGCCATACAACAGGGTCTCCACTTCAGAACCACAGCTCACCAATCCTGCCTCAATCATTTTTGTGCATTGTGAAGTGAAATGTATTGTTAAAAATGTTTGAAGGAAGATATTTCTGGTATTTATTTTACTCTTTAACACTGCATGCTCAAAATAAATTTTTCTCTTCCTCGTCTATTGATCTTCTCCAGTGGAAACTGCAGCAAGTCCAACAGATAGTATTGTGCTTGGTTAAATATGCCTATGACTAGATTCTTTTCTCTTGAAACACAAATGGTACAGCCATGCTTCTGCAGTTGTTACATTACTGGAATCTAGTCTGAGTTGCACAAAGTTCCAAAATCAATATTCTCCTTAATGCTTTAACTTCAGCTCCCCACTGTCATTTCACACTAACTGTTCCTTGACTGCATTTCAGACCAAGCAGAAGCCATGGCATTGTGGCCATGCTGCCCTCAAACTAAGATAATAGTAGCTTATCAAAGCATGGCACACATATGGTTTGGATTAAGTCCTTCGTGGGTGCTATCACAAGGCTTTTAGTCATACTAGAACACATGCAATGGAAGTTTTACTCTGCTTGCTATTGACTGTGTAAATTACCCCTAGGTTATTTGTTATGTAGTCAACGTTTGTTATTGCTTCCTACTTTCTGATTTTATTTTATATTTTCCCATATACAATTATAAGAAAACAAATAGGGAAGATGCAGGTCAAAAAACTACTCAGTTTTGTCACATTTTATTTAGTGTGTGCTGGAACATCTGAAACTTCCTTCCTTTGCTTCAAAAACAGCAGCAGTGCTGTTTCTGTCACATAACAAGACTGTGTTTTAGCATTGTTTACTTTTTATTTGGTAAGATACCAGATGCTCAGCCCAAGAAATTACCGTGAGTGTCAGGCAGATGGATGGAGCAATGACATCCCTCATTGTGAAGGTAAATGGAGTTTGACATTTAATTCTCTATTAGACTGTCTTTTGTTTGTCTGACACTGTCTAGAACATGTCTGTGATCACTTTACTAGTATTAATTCACGTATGTTTAAATTCAGGTTAGGCAGCAGTGAAACTCTTACAATGACTGCTCAGCTATTTTAATCCAATAAACACTCAAGCTTTTGTTAAAAAACCATTCATGAAATGGTGTCCTGTCACTTCCAGGCTGGCTTAAAGCTGTGCCTCACCTAAAGACCCTGATAGAGTTGCTGCCTGCAAAACATGGTTGCCAGGATGATGCTTTTCAAACTTAGGTGAAGGCTTGTGTGTTTTTAGCTAGTTTCCTCCTCCACTCTTGTGAATATTCTAACGATTAAGATTTTGTTACAAGTTCTTCTCCCAGTTAGCACACTGTGGAAGACTTTCTGTAAGTAAGAAGAGAGCAAGAGAAACTCAAGTATCAAGACTTAATGGACCAGGTGGCTCAGATGCTGCTTCTCTGATTTTGGAAACTTTTTCACCAGTTTCCAACCTGTATGATTATAAAAATAAGGTTTCTTTCTTCTCAGAGATAATTTTTAACCGGCCTATATTAACATATGTGGGCCATGGTGACTTTTTTTTCTATATGTTAAGCGTCTGATGTCGGGAAACATTCTCTAAAAATCAAATGAAAGTAGGTATCTTTCTCTTATCTAGTTTCTCGTCTGTGCTTTGACATTTCCTCGAACTCAGATACTTCACAATTAGTATACGGGATTTTGAGTGTCCTCAAATTTAGGCATACAGGTCTGTCTGCACAGTACAGAGAAATGTTTTCCAACAATTTTGTCACATGTCACCAAGATACTGCAATTTCTAAGTCTCCATAAGATTTTTCTTTTGTGGTTGAGTTTTCATCGCAACAGGACTGTCTATGAAAGAATTTGTATAACGTCCTAAATGTGAAGAACATAGAATACAGAATATAAGTTCATGGGAAAGACTTATACAGTGGTGGATGTTTTCAGAAAGAAGTGGGAGTCTTGATAGATAAAATATCAGCCACTTTCATACATGCTAAGTAATATCTATGTGAACATTTAACAATGAGCTTTGATAGGCATTTCCCCTTTAACAAGAGAAATCTGGTGGCATACGTCAATTCTTCCTTTTTCTGCAGGCACAAAATTGGGAGGTACAACAAGTCTAAATTTATGGCTGACACTGTGTTTATAATTGTTCTGATGTCCTTAACTAGGATTTTAGTTAATAACTGAACTGTTGTAGTCAGTCTGTAACACAACATTTTTCCAGATATCTGTCTATAGCAATTTCAGTTTGGTACAGCTCTGAACGAGCTAATTTTGGCAAATTTAAATGGCCTTATGTGTCAGTCAAGGCTCATCTAACCATCCATAGAATGCACAGGATCATAGGATAATTTACATTGGGTGAGACCTCAAGAGGTCATCTACTTCAGTGGGTGCTCTGTGTTTAACCTTCAAGGGCAGAGAACAGGATGACAAGAGCTGATCTACAAGCTTCTTCCTATGACAGTCTGTCTATTTGCTTACAGGTTTGTATTCTATCTGCTGCAAATGGTATCTGAATGTATAACTAGAGTGTGTATTTTTTAAATGTGTAACGACACTATAGTGAGTTTTCTCTATTTTAATTTTTTTTGTGTGACAATTTATTTTACAGAATAGACCTCAAAATGGCTTTTTTTTTCTCTTCCTTTTGTTTTCTTTTATTTTTCCAGTGGTTAAGTGTTTACCTCTACAGGCACCAGAAAATGGAAAAATAGTTATGACTGGTGTATTTGATCTAGACCAAGAATATTACTTTGGCCAGGTTGTAAATTTTGAGTGTAATGCAGACTACCACCTTGTTGGAGCTGAATCTGTAATTTGCTCTTCTAATGGAAAATGGAGCAGTGATGTGCCTCAGTGCAAAGGTAAAAAGGATGCTATTTCATATATGTAATTAAGAAGCTTTATTCTCACAGGCACTTAGGACTGGTTACCATATGGGAAGCTACAAAGATTTCACTTTATTTCACAGCAATTAAGCATACTTTGTCTGTAAGCAATCTCTATTGCACATATGAAGATGTAGGATAAGAAACAGAATAATATTGGGTGCTAATATAGTCATAATAGACCATCTGTTCCACATTTTTGCTACAAGTTGTATGTTTTGCCCAGCTGCAGTCAAATTATTTGAAAATAACTTTGGTGTGTCTACATAAGATTCAGTCACATCAGTGTTGATTTAACCAAAGCAATTAAAAACAATTTTGATTCTGTGAACCAAGTTAAATAAACAAGTAGGATTTTAATTCTTAGGGTATATAGAATACAAAGCAATCATGATGGACTTCTCTTTCTTCACACTGATGTGTTTTGACAAGTAAGAAGGTTCATGTTTAGTTTTTACAGAATCATAGAATCACAGAATAGGTGAGGTTGGAAGGGACCTCTGAAAGTTCCTCGAAGCAGTTAGCTAGGGCAAGTTGCTCGAGGCCATGTTCAGTCAGCTCTTAAATATCTCCAAGCCTCTCTGGCTAATCCATTACTGTGTTTGAACACTTTCAAGTAAAAATGTTTAAGTGGTATTTCCTGTATTTCAATTGATGGCCATTGCTTCTCATAGTATGGCTGGTTGCTAAAGAGAAGGGTCTGATTCCATCATATTTGCTTCTGCCTGCCCCCTCAGGAATCTACACATATATCATATTTGGCCTGCCCCATCAGAGTCAGGAATCTACACATATGAAAAAGACCCTCCTTCCTCCTCCAAGCCTTCTAGACTCTCTTAACCTCTTTTTCTGTCAGTTTTTGCAATCCCTTAGTTATTTTCATATCAGAGTCAGGAATCTACACATATGAAAAAGACCCTCCTTCCTCCTCCAAGCCTTCTAGACTCTCTTAACCTCTTTTTCTGTCAGTTTTTGCAATCCCTTAGTTATTTTCATGGCCTCTTTTTCTCTGTCAATTTTTGCAATCCCTTAGTTATTTTCATGTTCCTTCACTGAATCTGCCCCAGTATGTCCATATCTGTCCTCTATTGTGAAGTTCAGACCTGGACAGACGTAGAAGGGAAGTGTCTCTTCATTCGATCTGCTGGCAACACTCTTCCCAGTGGAGCCCAGGATGCTGTTCTCTTTGTTTGCTGCAAAGGCACATTACTGGCCCCTGTTCATCTTGACCATCAGGACTACTAACATATTTTCTGCAAAATTACTTTTCAAACCAGTCAACCCCACGCTGCCTTGCCTGGGATTTGCACTAGCGGGAGATGATCATGGGATTGGATTGTCAGTATGTAAGAATGAATCCCAGGAAGATTATGGTAACCATCAAGGTTTTTTTAGATGACTTCTATGTTATCTGATCGGGAAGTATGTGTTTAGAAGAGAAGAGTACATAGGCCAGGATAGCACATATATCTGTGGTTTGTTTGCAATTTCAGTGCTGCATATATTAGGTAGAGATTTTTACAGAGAGTAGTCAGGCATTGGAATGTGCTGCCCGGGGAGGTGGTGGATTCACCATCCCTGGAGATTTTCAAGATGAGACTGGATGCGGCACTGAGTGACATGGTCTAGTAACGACGGTAGGGTTGGACTCAATGATCTTTGAGGTCTCTTCCAACCTGATTTATTTTATGATTCTATGATTTTGCTGCTTTTTTGCACAGCATAAACTGGCATTAAACATATATGCTTATAACATTTACCGAATGTAGTGAATTTTATTAAACAATGACAGTTCCACTGAGCTATTTTTTCATCCTAAAGACAAAGTAAATTCAGCAAAGGAATCCAAGAGAACTCTTTGGTGTCCTGCTCTGTGACCTAGGAATCTAATCCTTGAATATTTTCTGCCTTTATGAATGCATTTTTTGGAAACGGCAAGATCTTGGTGGTTTTACTGGGTTTGGCAAGGAGCTGGGAATGCTGATGTTCTTTTATAGATAATTTAACCTTCTACTGTCAGTTTTCCAGACAATTTAATACTTTTTTTCCTTTTGATGTCATGATTTAACTAATCCTCTGCTGGCTATGAGAGAGCTTTAGGTTTGCTTGAAATTACAAAGAAATTAAATGATCTGAAAAATGGAAAACCCTAAATTCCAGCTAGCCTACTTACTTATTTTGGAATGTCCTCTGCCTTGTATATTGATTATGAGATCCATTAAAATCCAAAGCAAAGCCCTGAAATGTGTCTTGTGTCTCACAAACTAATTTGCAGCTGATGCTGTTGTCCCTGCTTGGAACCCACAATCAGGTCATTGAAGAGTTCCTAAATAATTTTTAAAGTTTCCAAATGCAAAAGTTTTTATGCATTCAAATTTAGAAGAAGCCAAACCAAGCAATCAAAAATCCTAAATTATATTCTGGTAGGAATTTATTCTTAGCAAATAAAAATAAGCAAAAATGTATGTATTTTTGGCTTTCTCAATTTCAGAGGTCATCTGTGATGTGCCAGAAATTCTGCATGGACGTGTACATTCTGCAAAGCAGACTTACAGGAAGTCTGAATACCTGCAGTTTGCCTGTGATCGTGGATACGCATACGGTGAAAGATCAGAGGCACAATGCACTGAAACGGGATGGAATCCACGCCCCTATTGCACTGGTTAGCCTTGCCTAAAGTAGTTTTGCACATTTGTTGGATCTGAAAGTAATTTCAGAGATTTGTCATAACAAAAGTTAGTTTATTCATAACAAAAGAAATCCAGCTACATCTGACCAATATGCCATGGAGATCTGGAAGGATTAAGTTCTAAAGGGACCAAACAACTGGATTAAAGTTTTCCATGGAGAGCAGTAGCAAAACCAGTTAATTCAATCTTTTGTTACTTGAGTGTAGTTAAATAGGTCCACAAAGCAACAGTTACTCCAATATATTGCATAGACAAGACTAATGTTGAAATACTTTATGCAGCATTAGTAGCTGTTGTTATTGTATTTATTTTTTTTTTATGATTCTGAATTAGTGGGGAGAATATAGGAAAAAGATTTCTTGGGTTAGGAAAAAGATTTCTTGGGTTAGAAAAAAGTCCTAATTTGAGCAAATGAGAAGGATAAAGCTGAACCTCTTTGCCTTCTACAAAATAAAATAAAAGTGTTTTATCTAGGGACTAGAAAAAATCAGACCCTAAAAAGAATATTTAAATAAGCAAGGGGGAAAAAAAGTATTAATACCAGAGAAATTCAAACTACAGAAGGAATCTGAAATTTTTAATGGCATGGGAAAATTGTCATTTGAAACCAGCTTCTTAGAAAAGTGGTAAAAAGTCCTATCTCTTCACATCAAGTCTGGGTACATTCTTAAGTGTGTTTAAAATGGATGCAAGTGGTACAAGTCAGTGACTGTACTGTGTGCTGGAAGACTGCGAAAAGAAATATTTATTTGATACCAGATGAATTGCAGCAGTGTGAATGAAATTGGGGAAAGCTAATAGTCTTAGCTTAATGACCTGTTTATGAATCACAAGCAGTTTTTTCAGGAAGAAATACAAGTTAATGCATCTTCAGGTCTTCCATGCTCAGTAGTTGAGATTCTGTGTCACCATAACCAAGACTCTGCTACTTGTAATCAAAGGACTAAGCACTCAGTGAAATATCACTCAGCATCTCACCCTCTAGGAACATTTGAGACAATAGAAAGTTGCTTGACCTTCTGAACTGACCTCTGCATTTTGTCTGAGTGTCCTGATGAGTCTTACTCATGAGCAGACTGAGCACCTGGTTGCTATTTATTATATCCATTCTTTAAAATTTTAGACTACTAGTTCTGATCAAACCAGTTCCAAACAAAGAGGACCAACTCAAAAATGATCCCTCTGTCACTGATGTCACTTCAGTAATAAATTGTTAGTGTACTGTGCAGCTTTTCAGAAATGACTTGAAATTACAAAAGTATGTTTCAAAGTATCTTTCAAATTTAAATCCTGGTAAGCTGCCTTTCAAGAGCTCATCTGAAATAATAGGGTAGTGTTGTAGGAAGAACAGTCTGTAGTTGCTGTGGCCATTTCCAAAGGAGTTCCAAGCAAATGTGAAGTAGTCCAGTTTCAGAAGGATAAGTAGTCTGCCAATGGCCATGAGCATGTGAGCTGAAAATTGCAATGGAATTGTAGAGCTGGATTATGCATAAAGCTGAAAACAATAGCACTTTCTACACAGCCATTATGTCACGAATTGTGTACGCCATAGATTTGAAGTTCACTAGCTAGCCCTAAGAACCATGGACATGAAGTGATGTATAAACAGAAACCAAAGTAACATGGTATGCATGAATCCTGACTCTGTCCATGACCCTTAGCCTAGGATGAAGACAGAAATTTGTTTAATGTCATCAGAACTGAAACTGCACAATCACATTAAGCACAATGTTCAAGCTTGACATCAGAAATTGCCTGAGAATATCTATAAATTAATAGATTTACAATGCTAAAGCTCCCTATTGCTTTTAACTCTCAAATGCCTTTTGAGCACTTTAGATGGCAAATCCATAAGTTCCGAGGCTAGTCCTGTTTGACATCAGCCCTCTGGGTCATGGATTTTAGTTTAGTTTCATTTAGTTACAGCACTTGAAGACTATATTTAAATCTCCAGATCCCACAAAAAGAAATATGCATGTTATGTCCCAACTGAAACAGTTTGATGTAAATTTCTGGGAAATCATTAGTGCCTTGAATTGTCTTCAAGAAATTGCCAAACACTTGAAACTGGAAAAAAATGTTGGCAACAGGGCAACATTGTAGGATGTTATGTACCACCCACCTTCCTGGGACCTCTTCCAGAAAGACTCCTTTAGAAATAAAGGGTTGTCAGTCCTGGTGCCCACTCAGTTCTTGACCTTTCTGCTTAAGGATTAGCAATGATACTAATTAATAT